TCAGATTTCCCCATACTTGCTCCGTTTCTGTGCCAGTGCAAATCAAATGAAATGTCCCATACTGTTGCATTTGAAAAACTGGTAAACAAACAAACTAGTCCCGGAACAATTCAGAAATATGTGCACACAGTAAATGCGTATTTGAGTTGCTGGAGTTGCCAAAGTCAACAATCGTTACCAGAAATGCAGTTTGTCGTTGATGGAAGTAGTCAGGCACGATAAGTTGGTTACTGTACACATGTATTATTATCACATAAGGTAATTAACCACCTCACATCCAAGCATAACTATGAGTGCAAAGAGACAGATTATTAATAGCATATTCATTCCAACATTAAGCTACCAGTGCCAAACATGGACACTATCTAAAGCCCATATTCGCAAAATTACCACCTGCGAGGTGAGGTGCCTGAGAAAAGCAGCCAACTTACCATACGAGATCGAGTGAATAATGAAACTATGTGGCAAATTGTGGGAACGACATCTTGTACTAGATTCATCAAGAAATAGCAGATCAAGTGGTTTGGCCATCTCGTTCGAATGCAGCAAGATCAAATACCATCACAAGCGCTACATCTCAGAAGATCAACTACAAGAGCAAGAGGATGTTCGCGGAAAACATGGATCGACAACATTAAAGACACTACGCCTTCACGGCATGACAATAGCCAGTGGCAGCCAACCTGCACTGGATCGCAATTTATTTCTCCCCTCGATACTTAACGGCAGAAGTGGTTTACGATGATGATGATGAACCAGCTCACACGTAAACCGGCTACCGGCCATATTGAAAACCACAATACAACCGCTGCACAAATAAAAGGCATTCCGCAGGAAAAACACAGCTCACAAGCCTACACAACCAAGCACTATACTCAGTAGCTCAGGCAGAAAACCAAGTAATAAAACTTGGAAGAATTTTCCCAGTTAAATATCCCTTCTCACATTTTAAGTACATCATAATAGACTATCATCAGGACAACTTTAACCGCTATGAAGACAAAGTCAAGCTTTGATTCTCGAGAATTCTTTAGAGAGTGATGCTGTCCTTTGACAAGTGAGAAGCCCATGAGCTTTTACGGCTCAGATTGGAGGAAGAAATATAAAGGAAGAAACTGACTTTTGAGGTCATGGCAGTAACTGAAGCAGTAAGATGGCTTGAGTCACAGACCCTCTGTGAATGTTTTTGCAGTGACTCAACAAGTATGCACGGGAAAATAGGGATGGGGGCCTGAAGCCAGTGGTTGGTGTCTTTGAGGGAGTCATGCCGACAAAGATCAGTTGTGTTTTCAAGCCCCGATGTGCAAGGAAATGAACAAGCTGATAGACTTACAAGTAAGGCTGTGGTTGAGCCATGGACCCAGCTCATGCATTGAAAGCTGTATAATAAGAAAAATGTTTGTGATGACTGAATCTGCTGATTTAGACATATTTTCATGGCGTGTGTGCCTGGCATCCTGATTGCTGTGGTGCGCCTCCTGGCTGGTTGCCTCCGACTCCAGCACCTTGTTTTGCAAGGGTAGACTGTGGTCATACTCGAGGAGAGTAGGCTCATCCCTTCGTCTTTTGCCTTTACCTCGTTTGTTGTCCCATCCAGTTTCCTGCTGGGGGTTGAAACCCCAACCTTCAACTGGATTGCTGGGAAGAACAGGGTCCACCACGTGAAGGTGAGGTAGGCTTGAACAAGAGAGGCTAATAGACATTAAGAGTCTTGTATTGCACATCATTGCTCCATTTGGAGAAGAAGAAGAAGAAGAACTGTGAATCTGCAATCATGATCAACTTCAAAAACAGCAAGTTAAAAGGGATATTGCAGGAAGCAAAAGACTAATAATAAACCAACACAGAACTGGGGCCATTATCCGCTGCATGCTGTGAGATTTACTGTGGAAGGCTATCTGAATGCTTTTGGACTGAATGATGTGCATTGCAGTGGTGTCCAAGATGTGTGTTGTGGATGACCTGTCAGCTAACAAACTAGACTAATTATTCTTGCGAACAAGTCCATAGATACTTAGCCGTCAGAATAGGGGGTCTAAAGGCCTAATTCATCAAGCCATTTATTTACCTGAGGCCTATTTTGGGGGATAAAAGAAAAGGCACTGCCCTCTAACAAGCATGCTCTGTGAAGTGACTAATTAATGGTTGACTGAAATTTGATGTTCTCGGCTGAACGGCGCAGGTTTCACAGTCTGGTCGAGAACCAACCAACATCCAAACAGCCTTTTTTTAGGGCCTGACAAAGAAAAAAATTTACCATGTTTTTATCTTCATACCTTATCCCAAAAAAACTGCAATCAGAGAATCAGCGTCACCTGGTTTTATCCTGTAAGTCTCGGCTTGATTACACAGAACCACTCCTCACCCTCAAGAGCCAGGTCTCAGTCTCTGCCCTCATAATCTTTCATTTACTGAAATCATCATCACACATAATTTGAAAATTCATTACGAACTGGCAAGTATTGCACCACTGCATGTGGGAAGATCAGTGGGCAGAGCTGACATTATCAATGCTATTTGGACTAAGTCAGCAAATAATGGCAGATCTCTGACACCAACGTGATTATATGACTTGGGAGTGAAGCGTGTCGGTGCTGTCTTCAAGGTCAAGATAGAAGACATTGTAACCAACTTCTCATGGGAACTACCAGTAAAGGTACCTTGGTGTAACTGCTGAGTTATAAGTAATTGCTGGTAGACTGAGCATGGATGGGAGTGCCTAATATGCATTAATGTTAATTGTGATACCATAGCTTGAAAATTATAGCTCCAGCGATTACCCCAAACCCCCTCCCCCCTTTTCCATGTCCCCCCTCCCTAAACTTTCTAAGTGTCTGTCAAACAAGAGATAGAGTCCACAGTTGAACCTACAACTATTATTTCCTATAGTCCATGCCCTATGGCGTTTGTAGTCATGACTATCCACAACCTTCTTTCTTATATACTGTCAATCATTTCTGACACAGATGATCTTCCGTACCATGATGACAAATGGTTTAGCATCTTCTGTCTCTGACTCCCTTTATTTTTTACCTGTTTCCCACGGCCACAACGTGCTGCAGTGCAGTGTTCTCCTTTTTATAATGTTATCAAAGAATTTAGGTTGTCTCCTTCTCATGTAGATAACCAGTACCCTACATGAATTAATTTCTCATACTCTTTTTATCTGTCAGCTGTGTTCTTATTGTTGGTCTATAACAGGACTATTCAACTAATGCCCAATGTGCAGTGACATTAATTGTGATAACAAAACATAAAATAACATCTTAGTAGGGAGTCGGCAGTACGAAACCCAAGTTCAAGGTGTCTCCTTCGTGCCAAAGAACTGCATGGCTGTTGGGTGAACAGTCGTTAACGATGGCAGGCAGGTCGTTATAGGGGCGATGCCTGCTGGTGAATGTAACGTCCTAAGTCCCTTCCCCAGCTAATAATGAGGGTACTGCTGGGGTGACCGTTTATTAACCCTCATATAATTCTTCTGGTCAAAATGAACGCTAGGCACGGCCACATTTTTTTTTTATTTAATATTATTTTTTTTTTAAAGCCGTGGCAAATTTTTTTTTTTTTTTTGCCAGACGGTGGCCGTTGTATTTTTGCTCCATTTGTAGACTGGAAGGATGTAGTTTCGTGGCCCAGCTTCTGAGTTGAGTGCATGGTGTGACACTGTGAGCTGCGTTTGTTTTTCGTTGGCACAGGAGCGGAGCATCTGTGGGGTGACCCGTTTGCTATGAAGCTGAAACTAGGATTACCAGATTCAACTAAGTTCACTTAAGGGCCAAAATATTAAAAATGGGGGATCGTCGCAGACCAGAGATGCAGAGCCACAGTATAGAAAGATCACTAGTACAGAACAGTTAGCAATGATCTGCAGGCCATTTGCTAGGGCTCTGCATGACAGATTCGGCCCATGGGTCACCAGTTGAATAGCCCAGGTCTATAAAATTTAATTTCTTCAGTTCCCATTTAATATTTCACGAATCGGCTAACTGTCTATGATTCACAACCTTTACAGCACAAGGCAAATCCTTAAGCACTTCACCACAGACTTGAGCACTTCACCACAGACTTGAGTACTTCACCACAGACTTCTCTTACTCATCATTAACAGATATCTGCCGCTGCATCATTTTCCAGAAACTGTTACTTAGTTGATAGATTATCTTCATTGCATATCTAACCATTCAGTCCATAAGTGCTGGATCCCCTCCTTAGTAAATTTTGCAGTGTGCAGCGGCTGATGACACCAGTTCTGTGTTGGTTTCCTATTCTTCTTTGGCTTCCTGCATAGTGCTCTTGTCTGGCTCACACGCCTTTTAACTTGTTGTTCTTGCAGTCTGGTCATTGTTGCAGATTCACAGTCGTCACTTGATCTCGCAAAAGTCTTGCTTCTCAGAGCATTCAGAATATCAGCATGGTCCATGGCTCATCTGCCCTCCACAATACTTTACCTGCAAGCCGATCAGCTTGCTCATTACATTGTACATGTGCTTGCCCTGATATAAAAATAAAACTGTGTCAGCCCTGACCGCTCTAGAGACTACAGCCATTGTCTTTGGATCTCTGTCTTTCTAAGCTTACTTATTAAGTCACAGAAAAAGCATGCGTCAGAAAAAGCATGCCTCTAACCATGTTATGCTTTGGTCACTGCCATGACCTCCATAGTCAGACTACTTGTGGTCAGGGCAACAGCACCAGAATCTTGCTTCACAATTTTAACTCCTGAGCTGTAAAAGCCCAAAAGCTTCTCATATGGCGAATTGCAGATCCATTTGTATAAATGATAGCATCCCCCTGTAGAGAAACTGTACCCCTCCATCACCTCTCTCCACCAAGACGTTCAACATGGCCAAAATACCTCAGCTTTCAGGATAGGACTTTTTGTACTGATTTGGGTAATTCCTTTATTTGTAGCCTTCTGCAGGCAAAATTGATGTCTACAATCTCAATTTTTAGTGACAGTTAATATTATCCACATTTTTGCTTGTTCATTTCAGTTCAGAATGGCTGAAAATCAGCATCGTCTGCAAGAAACAGACATACATAATGAAACTGGTTCTCATTCAACTTCCAGCATTGAAACTTCAGCTTTAGTATATCAAAAATCACTGATCACAGCTTCACCAAAAGAGCATGCCACTTTGACCAAACAGTTTGAAAATGTGTCAAGTCTCGGAGACAGTGATTCTCTGGCAACATTCACAATGGATGATATTGTTTGTTCGTCTGATCCTGGTAAAAATTTAACTGTGTTGTTATTGTTGCAGGAAAATACTGAATGTAAATCTGTCTGGTAAAATGGCAAACAGCCAATGAATACATTGGTTGGTTGGCAATGCCCTAAAGAGAATAGTTAACTAAATCAATATTTTAACATTTCCTTCAGTCAGCAGTCAGGTATCCTGCATCTGTTGCCGTCTATGTAAATTGTATATCACAGCTCAAATCTTTCTGCATTGTGTGAGGTCTTCCACTTTGCTACCCCAGAAAACCTCTTTCCATGACCCCCGCCTCCCCCTCCCCCCCCCTCCAAATGCCTTTTTTTCAGTTGTTGTAACCAGTCTTCAATAGAGACTTGTTTCAACAAGATCTTGCTCTGTTTTCCATATAATGAAAGCCATTAAAAATTAAAAATGATAAATTACAGGAACTCACCTGAATAAATCTTTGGCATTACGCCAAAATCACCTAAGTGCTAAATCACTGTTTCAAGAAACACACTTGGTGGGGGCATTCATTATAAATTAATACCAGGAGAGGAGAACGTCGGAGGGGTTAACTGTGTATCATTAAATTTATCTTGATATCTAACTATCCTTTTCTTACTCTTGTGTGTACAAGTACAGCTACTTTTATTTGTTTCAAACGAGCCACTTCTTTCTGTGTTTCTTGGTTATCCAGAACTGTATTTGGGGAATTAACATAGCTCAATGCATTAGTCCAGTTTCTCACTCGAGATTCAAACCCACACACTCACTGCAAGTTAATATCAGTGTGGGGTTGGCAACATGGAGTATATGCCTGTCTCCACCTTTCTCAACATGCTCTGTGAGTCATGTACAATTACATGTGTCTACATCAGTTGCATGGTGTTTCAGGAGCTGTATCCTTAACCTCAGTCCCACAACTCAACGATGGAACAGACGGACTAGCAGGTCTGACACTGTTAGGTGGTAGCGGCGGTGAGTTCATGATCGTCTCCTCAGAAAATGACCTGGATGGCAATGGAGTCATTCAGCAGAATGGACACACTATCACACTCAGCTTGGATGATGCTACTAGGCTTCTGCTGCAGCAGGGCTTTGCTCAGGCCGTGGAGCTACCCGATGGAACTTTCCAGATTTTGAAACCACCTATGGTACAGGTAAAGATTTTTCCTTCTTCTGCTTAGCGCTCACCAGCTGTAAACTCTGGTGGAATGTTCAGGTTGTTCGTCCCATTCTGCACTTTAGTCTTATTCCAGAACTTGAATTTTACAAGCACATTTGTTTCAAAGATTGACTTATTTTTATGCAGACTGTTGCTTCCTTACCTTTTAGGCAGATAAAGATTCCTTTTTGCGCCTTAGGCGCATCAGGCTTATGGAAAGAGCATCCCATATTTTTACAGACCAATCGGCACTAGGTGGGTGATGTGGTCAGCATTACGCCAGCCATTTTTACTTCCCCAGGACAGCCATCCTGGTACCCATTTTAGGCTGGGTTGACCTGCGACGCCCCATACCATGATAAAAATGCATGCAGCCAGCAGTGGGTTTCGATCACGGTATGTTGGAATTATGAGTTGGACTCGCAACGCCTAAGCCACGGACGCCACTTCTCAGGCAGATACGCCCCCTAAAATCTTTAATTAGTCACCTTTTGTGACAGGCTTATTGGGCAGTCATTGGTTTTGTTCTTTTTTTTTTCTTTTTTTTTCACCTCGCAATGGGAGCCCACAACTTAAAAAGGGACAGGAAATTATTGATTCTTTATCTTCATGAATCTTTTATTATTATCTTCATTATGACCGGCCTTGTTCCATTATGTGTCACACAGGGCTCTCAGTCTGTTCCTCCATTACATTCTATCCTGCACAATCCTTTTAGTATCATGCATGAAATCCAGTCTAGCACTTTTGGCCTGTCTCGTCAACATTCATCTTAGTATTTCTCTTGGGCGTCATCATTTTCTCAGTCAATTTGTTTCCCATTTAAGTGCCTCTTTGGTGATTATCTGTGCATCTTCTTAATGTGCATACTAGTAAAGTTATGGAAGATTATGGGTGATGCAGAGTGTTGTTTTATAGATCAATGATGATAATATTACGAAAAAATTCTTCTTCTTCTTCTTTGCGTTCAGCTTCGTGCAATGAGGTAGGTTACCTCTGTGAACTTGTATGTCAGCAGCAGGTCCTTCATGGTTCCCCATAGCTTGCTCTGCACACTTTGCTCTTGAGGTCGGGTGCTGTTTCGAAGTTGTAGGTAGAGTGGGCAGGTCTGCAGAATGTGCTCAGATGTTTGTTGTCCGGTTTGACAGGCACACTGTGGGGACTGTACAATCATTATTTTATGATGTGGTAGTTGGGCCTGCAGTGTTCTGTTCGTAAACGGAAAATTGTTGTATTTTGTTTTCTGTTGAGTCTGCTTATGGGGTCATGGATTTTTACTGTTGGTTTGTTCTCTCCACAATTCCTTTTATTTTCCTTTGATAAGTGTTCTGATTTCTGGTAATGACAGTGAATGGGCATGTTGTTTCTCCTTTGTTCCATTTTTTGCAAGTCTGTCTGCTAACTCATTTTCTGGTATGCCGCAGTGAGCCGGGATCCCCTGGAGAACAATTTGATTGCCTGTGTAATTTCCCATGTTGAAGGAATCTTTAGAAGGGATGTCACTGTTTTTTGTGTAAAACAATTTTGATAGGTGGTGAAAGCTTTGTCTCTCAGGCGGGAAAAGTTAGTAACATAAAGCAGCTCTGGAAAAATCTTCAGTTTTATAGTCAGATGTTCAGACTCACTGATGCTTCTAGAAGTTTATGTGGCTCCGAATTTTTTTTTTGTTGAAATAATTAAGATATTTTGAAAGAAATTAATTCATTAAGATAAGTGATTACCCATGTGAGAAGAAAAGAGTCTACATTCTTTGATCATGTTATGAGAAGAGGTGAAAACATCAAGGAAAGGGTAGGTTGGAGGGGAAGATAGGCAGAGGAAGACCAAGGGAGAATACGCTGGACCATTTGGCATGATGGCATGGAGGAGCATCTTGTGTCAAAAATGATTGAAAGTGAACAAGACATAAGGTTGAGAGAGATGTTGTTATAATTTAAGTGTTTGTGTATCTAACTCGTGCAGGTTGAGCTAGATAGTTGATATAATTGTTTATTTATTATATTTATTTTATTTAAGCTGATAGATATGGTTATTACGATTTAGTAGTGAGCAGCTTTTTCATATACCATAAACTGCGCTATGTCAAGTTTCTAAGTCTAAAAGAATCTTTACCAAACTAAGGGTTGACTTTTATGGTAAGTATAAGGTATGTTAGGTAGGCATAAAAAATCTTGAGGTCATCTTGCAGACCAGGTCAACTAGTACATCATAATTTATTAAAAGTGAAAAGTTAGTTGCATATGGTTTACAGGATGTTGTAAACCAACCCCAGGCATTTGTTGACTGTTTGTAGTTTTAATTTTATGTTCAGTAGTTTGCCACTGCTATCTAAACAGTCGACTGTCCATACCATTGTGAAAATGATTGAAACGTTTATATAGATTAGTGAGGACTGTCATCAAAGCACAGATCCATAGCAGCTGCTACCCCTCCTCAGTAGTTCCATAAGAGTAAAGTGTGTTGATTAAACAAATGTCTTGTGCCCTTAGTAAACTGTTTATATCTGGCTACACCCGGTTGCAGTCCCATTTCCACCAACCTGGGCAAGGATACTGAGTCCTGCTAGTGGTCATCATCTTCTTTCTTTTTCATGAAAATTCATCTCTCATGGTAGTAGTGACATTACTCCTGTCCGGTGCTGGGCCGGTTATAGTAATCTCCTTGTCCACCAGATAATCCAAACGCTGATTGCCTTTAACACCCACATGGCCCGGCACAAAGATAAAGGTTAAGTGAGTTACTTGTAATGCATTTCATGAGAGAATTCATTCTTTTCATGTAGGTTGAGAGAGAGGATGGTACCCTTCAAGCTCAGACACTCCACATTGAAGTTTTACAAGCCTTGCAGGGTGAGCTGGCTCAGCAGCTTTCCATGATGGCACCCAGCTATTCACTAGGAGAAGACATGAACAGCCTCGATGACATGCCTTCATCTGTTGTCAAAAGGGAAGTCAGTACTGATGATTCTCACAATGAAACCTCTATGGATCACAGAGATTCATTGGAAGATCCTTCTTTGGCAGAAATGAATTATGATGAAAAGGAGAATGACTTTGTTAGTGGAGGAGATAATTTTGAGGAAAAAAGACACCAGAATAAAGAGGTAACAAAAAGAAATGGACTGCTGCCTATTGTTTTCATTATGTTAGCTTTCATGTTCATTTTTTTCTCCTTCTACTTATTGGTAGTCTCTTGTATTTTCATATTCTTTCTCATCTTTTCTTTATCCTATTTATTTGTTCTTCCTATTTTAAATCAGTTATACAGTATAACCTTGTTAACATGAAATGAACTTTCTTAACTAGAACACTCAGTTAACATGAGCACAGTTTTGGTCCCACCATGGATGTGTTAGTTTTTTTTTTTTTTTAGTCCCTCGCTAGCATGAGCTATAATTTTGGTCCCTTGTCATTTATATTAATGACGTTTTACTGCCTTTGGTTTGTTCTGTTATGTTTCTTCTTGTTATTGTTTTGTGTGAGTGTGTTTTTAAAGATATAAATATATAAGTATGAGTGTGTAATTATGTATGTATATTTCAATGTATGTATTGCCAGCCATATTTTTGCCTATTTACTCAAGTTTCATGTTATGTATATTGCTAAGTGAACATTATATGCTTTATATATCAAAATACAGTTCCTGTGTGAAAGATCAGTGGTTGAAAGGGCTGAATGTAAGGCTAGTCTGCATGTCCAGTTTGTGACCTTTTAAGGTTTGTCCACTCATTCCTTATTGTATATAGTTCAGGGTTCGTAGTGGACCGTGATTCCTTGAATTGACCGTGATTTTTTTTATGGGACCAGGAACAGTGATTTTAAGCTTAAAAAAGACATTCTGACCTTGAGAAGCCGTGAATTTTGGCCGCCGCAATGAAATCGTCGAAAATCCTGCGATTTTCGCAGTTAGGCAATTTTTTTTTCTTTGGGGGGGGGCATTTGGCTAGTTTTTGGCTACTTTCGTTTACGGTTGTTTCAGGTGTGAGTACAGCAGATTATCGGCTATTTTCAGCCGAAATGGCTTGTTAAAGGGAAGGGCGGGCTGTGTTGCAGCTCATTAATACATGCAGACAGCAGCGGAAGGAGCAGCTGGCGTGTGCGTGTGCCTTTGTTTCTAGCCAGTCCGGCAGAATTAATAGTATAAATCGTTTTATGGCCGTGGTTTCTTGAAAGGATTACATTGGAAGATGGTGGGGCTCGGTTCGGTTGTATTTATAAATAGTTGGTTGTGGTGGGGGCTAAGCACGGCCTTCTCTATTAATTAGAGACAGGCATTGGTGCTAAGCAAAGTGATGTCAGCTGGATTTCCCAGTTCTATTTTTGGCCTGGTTTTATCTTTACAGTGTGTTTGGCGATCAGTATTGTAATTCCCCAAGATTCCCTCTTCTTTTGTTTCACCCCTCTCTCTCTCTTCCCTCCCTCTTTCACTCTTCTACCTGTTGCTCCTTCCTTCCCGTCTCCTGCATTGTCTCTAACCCTCCCTTCTTATCTTCATCTTCTTCTCTTTCTCTCTATCTTTCCTTTTACTCTCTCATTTCCTGTTCCCCCTCCGCCTTTTGTTCCTATTTTACTTCTTGTTTAAATGTTTAGTAAATGTGCCGCTTCATAACTCTTTTCCTAGCAACTCAAGTACACAGGAAGTTGTATTATGGTTGGGGGGGGGGGTGTCGTTCAGCGTGAACATGGTGGAAATTTTTTTTTTGATGTGTTTGTTTTCTTAGCGGGCCTAAATCTCTGTCCATCTCCCTTCCTGCCCCCTCACATTTTGTCCTACCTGTTCCTCACTCTCTGCCTGTCTGTCACTGCTTTCCCCTCTCTCTTTCTCTTTGTATTTTCCCTCACTCCCCCCCCCCCCCCCCACTCTCTCTCCCCCTCTCTCTCTTTTTCCGTACCTTCAGTTGGCGTAGAAGGTTATGTGTTGCCTAGTGCAGAAAATTTCATGTCCACCACTCCCCCCTCCCTCACACACATTAAATATATGAGTACTTTTAAAAACACATTTGCCGTCACCCTTTCTCCTCCCACATTGATGACACCTAGGGGAGGGGGTGCACCCCTTCCTGCTACCTTCTTCCCTCTATATCTCATCTTATTTCTTACTCCCTTCTTTCTCTCCCTGTCTCAGTCCCCACTTTATTCTCTAACCTTTCTCACCTCCTCTGTCTCACCCTTACCATCTTAGCCTTCTACACCACCTTCCACCACCTCCTCTCCCCCCTCCTTTCTGTAATTGGAAAACCAGAAATAAAACTAAGTCCACTGCTGCCCTGATGATTTGTGTGTGTGTATGGGTCACCTGCTCTATTTTCCACCAGTGGTGGGTTGGGGTCCCTGGACTTTTTTCTTCATAAAATGACCTTAGCTCTCAGGTCACCAGCATTAAGTGAAAGAAATTGAACTATTGTTGTCACATGCAGATAGGACAAGCACGGGGCAGTAGGGGTTAGCACTGTTGTTTATGGACCATGGCCACATTCACATTGGGAGAGGGTAGGAACTGGAAAAGTGACCTCACTTAGAGATTTCCTAATTCTATTTTTTGCGCTCTGTGACTGTTCTTATTGCCCCCCCCCCCACAACTGCGTCTTACCTCTCTTCTCTCACCCCTTCTTTTTCCTTTGATCTTCGACTATTCTCCTTTCTCTCTCCATTCTTCCTCTCTTTCTTTCCTTGCTCTGTACTCTTGCTCTTTCTCCGGTCCCATCTCTTCTTTGTCTCCTCTCCATCCTGTCTTTTCATTTTCTCTAGATTTCCTTACCCTCTCCCCTCTATCATTCTTCCCCAACTCTCCCCCCCCCACCCCATTTTTTTTTCTGGTTCATCTACATATGTTTTTTTGCCCCATAACTATCTTTTCCTAGTGGTTGTGTCCACTAAACTTGAAATTGTGTCAGGGGAGTGGGTGGGGTTTCAGCATGAGGCTGTTTTTTTTTTCTTTGATGTATCTTGTCTCCCTTCCTGTCCCTCTCTCTTAATCTGTGTTTGTCACTGCCTTCCTTACCCACCTCTCTCTCTCTCGCTCTCTCTCTCTCTCTCTCTCTCTCTCTCTCTCTCTCTCTCTCTCTCTTTCTTGCTTTATGTCTGTTTGCCTCCCTTCATCCCCCCCCCCCCCCCATTCTCCTGCTCTGCCTATTTTCTCTTTCTTTGGTTCTCTCCCTCTGTCTGCTTGCCTCTCTATGCTGTCTCTTTGTATCTCTCTCCCTTATGTCTACAATTCTTTCTGCTTGCATCTGTTTCTCTCCCTGTCCGTTCTCTCTCCCTCTGTCTCCCTTCCTTCAACTCTCTTTGTCATATTTTCCTCCTTCCATATCTCTGTTTCGTTCCCTTCTTTCTTCTCTCTTCATCTGCCCAATTCTGTATCTGCATTCCCTCTTTCTGTATTTGTCTCCCTCTCTGTCTTTCGCTGTCCCTTCCCCACTTTCCCTCATGTCTCCATCCCTCCCTCTCGTTTTTTCCTCCGTCCCCAGACTTCTTTTCCTTCTTTCCTCTACCTTCATCTGTCCATCTTTATACTGTCTCTCCCAGCCTACCTCAGCATGTGTCTTCCTCCCTCTCTGCATGACTCTCTCTCTCTCCCCCTAACCCTTTCTGGTACCAAGTCCAGAACAGACAGGACTTCAGTTTGCTGCCCTCTACCACCAAGTCCTAAAAAATTTTTCAAACACTATATCAAGCGCAGGGACCGACCAACACGAAGATTGGCACAGGATATAAGTGACTCCTTGAGTATAAAAAAGTACATAAGACGGGAGAGCTGGTGAGAGACCGATTTTTATTTCAGGACAAAGGAAATGCTACATGATGATGATGATGATATATGTGCTGGTATACCAACACATGTGGCACGAATGAAGTGCATTGTGTGCTCGGTACACCATTGAACAAGGCAAAAATCTTGTTTCAGTATTACACCGAGACAACCTTGAAAAAAACTAAGGAGACCTTGAAAAAGACCTTGAAAAGCCTTGAAGTTGATTGGTAAATTTGACTATGAACCCTGATAGTTCTTGATTTCTGTCCGAAGTGGTTGACTTCATTAAGCCGTAATATGTAAAGTTACACTTTTTATGAATTCTACAATTTTGTATTGCAGAGCAGAACAGCCACAGCAAAGGATAGTGAATACAAGCAGCCAGATTTGAACTGCCCAATACCTTTGTCTGAGCAGACAGTGGTCACTGTCAAGGGGAAGAAATGTATCCTGGCCTTCAACCAGGAGACCAAGCAAGTCTGTGCTTACCCCATCAAGCCTCCACCTGGTAAAGAAGACAGCTGTGTGATTCTAGTAGAAGTAGTAGCGGTGGTGGTAGTAGTGCATAGTGCAACGCTGAGCTGTATACTTCATGTAGAATACCTTTCCTTAGTAATTGATGTAGTTCATATTATTATATTAAGAAAAGGGCTAATGGTTAGTTTACATTAGATCTGGCTAAGCACCTCATGAGTTTATATTGCCTATTAGTCATGACTGACTACTTCTATCAATGACAGATTGCAATTGTTGTGGGGGATGATGGTGTTGGCACCTCTAGAGACTGCCTTGTGCATTTACTGCATGTTTGTGTTTTGGGATTTTGCTGTTTATTCACTAGTTTTCAGTGTGACAGTGAAGGTTATTCTGTGTAATTTTCACTGGCACAGAAACAGAGCAGTTGTGATGTGACCCGTTTGCATTGAAGTTTAACTCTTTGTATCAAAATAAGTTGTTACCTCAACTGACAGATGCTTGGCTCTGAAGGAATTTAAATAATTAAACTATAAGGCAGAAGAGCTAAATAAACAACTGATGCTGAATGGGTTAATAAAACAGATGCATCAAGCTCATGTAGATAGGCAGGTAGATAATGGAAATTGACAAATGCACTTTGCATTCTTTGGTACTTGAGTTAATCTTAACTAGAGTTAATCTTAACTACGACTACAACTTTGTAGCTTTAGCAATGAAGCAGTGGTCTCCAGTCTGTGTGTGGAGCTTTCATTAGCAAGCCGTGGCCAAAAGCAAAAAACAATGCTGACAGTCTGGACAGGAAGTTAACACTTGTTAGGTTTCTTTTTCTGCTACTTCTCCGGCTTCAACCCTGCACCACTTAAGGAAGCCAAATGTGTGACTGCTAACATTCATCTTATGCTTTCAATAGAGTCACACAAAGTAGAATTCAGTGATTCCACTTATAACCCCTGAGATTCCAAAACACCTGCACTAACAGTCCAAATGACAGAAATCAAACCCAGGAGCTCCAGAGCATAAGGCTTAATCACCTCAGCACAGAGACCTCATGCCACATAACCCAAATACCAGACATCCTCTCATGCCTCTATAGACAGAGTGGCTGGGAAGATATGACTAGTTAAGTACTGTTGTTGCAGAATGATCATTCAACCTGCTGTGAATAGTTTGCAATGAAATGTTATGTCTGTACACATTGTATTCAATATAAATAACATAAGGGAAGATCAGGAACTGCCCTGCCCTGGGGGGAATTGCATATGCTACATGTGCAGCCAACCATCAACTGGTTACTGTAGGCAAATCACAGGGTGGTGATGGGAGTGTTAAAGAGGAAACAGAGGCAGAGGGAGAACAAGAGAGAAGGTGCTGGACAGTTAGTTTGTTATCGGCTTGGGGAAACATCTGAATTAAGCATGATTGAAAGTACATGAAACAAAAGGATGGGACAGACCTGACGACCAACGCTGCACAGCATGGATTTTAAAAAAAAATAGATCTTTATCCATTGCACTTATTCTAAATCTCAAGCTCAGACTGTTTTTTCACTGTCCTCTCATCAACATTATGTTCTGAGCCAATTAACATGGACTGTCAAATCTGGCACGCTCACACTGTCATCAGAGTCACAGATCATGTCAGTATTCTTGTCTCCCACCCATCCATATGGCGAGTCGGTTCCAGTATTTGTCCCTTGGCTTTTCTCTTGCTATTTGTTTATCAGTTGTCACCAAGTTCTCATATCCATTCCTTTCATATCGTGTATGAAAAACACAGACTTTCAAATCAGTCTTTTCTAATCATCTGTCATCTGCTTAGGAACAAAACGCAGAGGTCGACCCAGAATGACTGAAGAAGAAAAGGCAGTAGCAGCCGAAAAGAAGCGACAGCAACTATCACAGTTTGCAACCAACCCTACGTCGCACACATCACCATCTGAGAAAAGCTCGGCCGCAGAAACTCTTCTCGAGCTCTCAAATGTGGGTAAGTCTGGTATGTTTTAGAATGACTGATTGTCCACGTTTAAAGGTCAGAGGATTTACTCTATTGCAAAAGGTTTAACTTATTTGTTTAACTCAATCCCTCTCTGCTGAGTGGCTAAACAGTAGCTACATGCCAAGATCATCACTGGAAATGTGAAGTCTGTCTTGAGCGCCATCCCTGGAGTCTCCACAGTTGTACTTGTGAAGCAAAAAATACAGCCCAGAATCAATCCAATGACCCAGTGAGTGTGAGGCAAACTACTTAACAACTTTACCAGAGACACCCAGGTTATTCCAGTGACAATATCAAATAGTCTTTTTCTTTTTCTTGTGTGTGGACCGTAACCAGAAGATGCTCGGTTTTGTAGTTGAACGGGGTGTATGAGACTTTCTCCTGTTGGATTTGTATCCAGTATATGAGGTGGCTGTTTGAGTCAGAATGTCAGTCTCTGAGGCGGCAATCACAGAGAGGAAAGGTTTAAACAACATTGGAGCAGTATATATTGTACATTTTTCTAAGATACTAGATTCTTTACTACATTCTTTGGTCATGTGATGAGAAGGAGAAGACTGGAGTACATCTGGACAGTAGGAAAGTTGGAATGGAGGAAGAGGGAGACGAAGAGAAAAAATGCTGGACAGTTTGACATCATGGCATAGAGGATCATCTGTACCAGAGTAACTGTACACGAGACAGAAGGTTGTGGATAGTCATGACTACCAACACCACACAGCATGGACTTTAAGAAGATGAAGATATTAGAAGATATTCTTTTTCTGTCCTTTATCTCCAATTGGAGCATAGTGTGTCAGTCAACCACCTCAAACCTCCCTAACTTATGCGGACTCAGGCAGCCCCCTGCATGACTAACACTATTTGTTCCTCTCTATCTCCAATTCTCTTCTTTGTATGTATCTTTTGCACGCTATACTGGCTGCTGCAGATTAGGCCAGCATGCTTGTGGGATTGTCCTGGGTGCTATGGTGTCAGTTCATAATGAAGCTGAACTCGTTTATACTGTAGTTTCCAAAAGTGTTGCTGTTATTAGGTTCTTTCAGAGTATGTCCTGTTCAGTGCCTACATTATTTCCTCACTTTTTTGATTCACTGGAATTTGTTTAGTTCTGCTTTATGGATTCTGTCATTGCCATTTTATGCCTTCTGTTCTTTTTAAGCAGTACTAGGTTGTAGTTTTTGTTTATTGGGTATTACTAGTAGAATTTGGTTTTGTCTTTTGTGTGTGTGTTTGTATGTGGCAAGACTGGTATTCAGTGGTGCAAAGTATATTTGTTAACTTTTTTTTTTTTCATTTTTGTATGAGCAGACTATAGATTCTTTTTATCAAAGCATGTATTCAGAATGGCGTCCGTGGCGACTCCGACTCGTAATTCCAACGTACTGCGATCGAAACCCACTGCTGGCTGCATGGATTTTTATCATGGTATGTGGGGTGTCACAGTCGACCCAGCCTTTAAATGGGTACCAGAATGGCTGTCATGGGAAAGTAAATTTTACTAGTTTTTTTTATTTTTTTTAATTTGTTTTTAAAGCAGATGGTGTCAGAAGAGGAGGTCTTTAAAAATATGGGTGCTCCCATATGCTCAATGCGGCCTCATAAAAAGGGATCCACTATACTATTCAGCATACTTGGAAACTAGGTCTAGTTTTTGTTTTTGGTGTCAGACCCAGGAAAAAAAAGAGAAAGCTAAAATGGGGAATGATTTTTTTCCTAATGCTATGAAGCAGTTGGAAAAAAAACTGTGTTCTACCCTCTTTTGTAGATTCCCATTCAATTCCCAGAACTCCCTGTGTGGATCCCAGGGCCCCCTTTTGGGTTGGGGGAGGGGGGGTGGTAGGGGAAATGACCCACTGCTTCCATAATAAGCATGGTGTAGAAGACAACTAGTTAGAGGTGTTTCCTTCGAAGTCAGAGTGCATCTGCCTTAGAGGTAAGGAACCAACAGTCTGCATAAAAAAAAGCCAGATCTGTAAAAAGGGGTGTGCATGTAAAACTCAAGTTCCTGACCAAGATAAAAACCCAGAATTGGATGAACAACCTGAACATTCTACCGGAGCTTATAGATGGTCAACAGTAAGAAGAAGAGGTTCCGTTAACATTTTCTGATATCCATTTTAGGCTGGGTCAACTAGGGAGCGACATTTTTTTTCTCCCTTTTGTTAACCCTGATTAGATGTGACTTATGGCCCTCCCCTCCAGACTGGCCAAGCAACAATGCTATGTATTGAGCTATGCTGCTTCCATTTTGAGACGCAATTGCCAGATCACATTCTATATTCTGCTTTATAATGCAAAGCTTTACAGCATGAACAGAGGCCCAAGGGGTAGTCAAAAGAGATGTAAAATCAGCGCATCTTGCGTTCATTGGGCCTCTAAGCGGGAACTTATGAATGTATGATGCGTTCCTTGGGACTCAAAGAGTTAGGGAAGATTGCCATAAAATGGGATGTCAGCTAGAGATCTGTTAAATTTCTCTAAAGCTTAGTTATGAGTCTGATTCAAGCATTTGTGTGTATTTTAAAAATCAAGTTATTTTCCTAATACTTTTTTCTTGATCCCTACCTTCTTTGCTTTTTGTTCAGAATATGAAGAGCTGGATGATTCAGAAGAAGATCATGATCTCGGGTTTGAAGACAACAAAGAGAAAGACCCCGACATCAGCTTGGCCCTCACTGAAGTGAAGAAAAAAAAAGTGCAGCCAGCAAAGAAAGATATGGTGCCCCCATCACCATCTGTTTATGCACCAAATTCTGAACAGCGTATGTATACATGAATAATAATAGTTTTTGTTGTGTTTATTTTTTTTTTTTTCATGCGAGTGCAAGAGAGAGTTAAAAATCTAAAACAAAGATTTTGAGAAAGAAAACAGAGAATAATAGAAATCGTGGATTTTATAAAGCGAGATCAGCAAAGATAATTGACAGATAACGGGTGTGAGTGAGATGAAAGTCAGAATAAGAGACACTTTTATTGCATTAGGAAGTCTGTGGAAGTCAAAATAAATTCTATTGGAACACTTTCTATCCAGGACACAATCCTAAAGACTCAGTCAACCTTCTCATTCAAAAGAAACAGATCATTATCTTTAGACTGTGGACTGAACCACAGATTACTGAACATTGGGTACAGACATGCTCTCTACATACAGTAGAGAGATCCCAGGTTGGCCAGTTGCCATTCCCATGGAAAACTCTATTGAACAGTGGAAAACATGTGTCGCACCACACACTTCATAGCGGCCAGTGGCTGAAAACATCTGACAGGGAGAATGATAAGAAAAAAAAGAAAATAAATTAAACCTGGTTCTAAACTTAGAATATTTAACTCTATCCTGAAACATATACTGCTCTATGGATAAGAAACAAAGAATGACTAAAACTACAAGTACACTACAAACATTCCTCTAGTTGTCCTCATCATCACATAATGTTTTAGTTATTATTCTCCACAGCTGTGAAAAGAGGACGAGGGCGACCAAGGCGCTACCCACCACCAGGACAGATGCAGACATCAATACCTGCCATCATGATTCCATCTGCCAATGGACAGACCCTTGTTATGACTCAGGTAGGTTGTGTGTGGAATTCTAGCTACACTGTTATCACTTTTTTTTGTATATACTGTCCAGAAAAGGTCGTGAGAACTGACGGGCAATGACCATAAATAAACAAAAAATATTAGATAAAGCCTTGTTGTTTGATAAGACCCTTTGGTGAGAGGGAGCCCAAAATAGAATTTATATGGTGCCTGTTAGGTAGCAGTTCATCCAGCATCATTATGTTTTTCCTGACCTCTCAATTCACTGGAATTTGTTTAGTTCTCTCCTAAATCTCCACAATTTTGTTTCTATAATACGATTGAAAGCCCTCTGTTTAGAGCAGACACAAGTTAATAAATGTTTGTAGTGCATCAGTGTGAAGGAAGATTCTTGTGCTTTTGCCTTGGGTATTTAGCTGAATGAACAAAACTGTAAACTCCACTCCAAATGTGGAAACTGCTTTAACAAACTGTGGCCAGAAGCACAGACACAGTTTTGAAACTTTAGCTGACTGCCTCCCTAACTGCCAGATTGGACTAATAGAATAGTAAGTCAACACAGAAGTGGTGTTATACTTGGAGGGATATACCCACCAAAATGGGACCTTGGAACCAACACTGGGAAGTTCTGGGTTGTTATTGTTGAACTGCTTCTGCACCTGCCACCTCACATGCCACTGCTTCCCACTGAAAAGATGAGTATCAGGTTAAATGGAGATTTGCAGTAACTTCCCAAGTATCAGGTTAAATGGAGATTTGCAGTAACTTCCCAAGTATCAGGTTAAATGGAGATTTGCAGTAACTTCCCAAGTATCAGGTTAAATGGAGATTTGCAGTAACTTCCCAAGTATCAGGATGAAGTGATGAGCATTCATGAAGTAAATAATTCATTGTGCTGTAGGAATGTTCTTAGCAACTAAGTTTATTAGTAATAGTTTATTTGTCTCCGTGCCTAATTCTGATAACTTGTTTTTGTTTAACTCAAACTGCAGGGCTTACAGAATCTTCAGAATTTTCATCGGCAGTTTCCAAATATAATTCCCAAGCCCTCGGTTGATTCTGGTACAGTGACCATCAGCGTTACAACTGCTGACACCAATAATTTGTCCCTTGGCAGTGATACTGATTCACTTCCTTTAGATGCCTCAGCAGGTATTGTGAGACTTAAAATTTTCCTTTGTTAAATCTTGTGAGTATTACAGACTTTACGCAATAGAAAAATATCTAGCCAGAAGAATAAAATGAGATACGCTGTCTTTTATGTTAACACCCTTAGGTGAGAGGGAGCCCATAATATAATTTATGTGGTGCCCATAAAGTAACAGCTTATCCTGATACTTGGAAAGTTACTGCACATGACCATTGATCCTGACACCCATCTCTTCATTGGGACGTGGTGGCATGTGGCGCTTCCGGTGCAGCAGCATTTCAACAAAAACAAACCAGAAAAGACAGTATTCTGAATCCTCCAACTTCCAAGTGTTGTTTCCAGGGCCCCATTTTGGTATGGAAAAATAATAGACCCCATGCTTCTCTAACAAGCTTGTTGTAAAATAATACTAATTGGATGTGTTTTATTCAAAGTCACAGTGTCTCTACCTGAGAGGCGAGAGACCAACAATCTGTACCAAAAAAGATTGGCCTTGTCTGTCACCAGTATACCCATAAATCCCACCAGTATACCCATAAATGCAAACCTAGTTCAACGGAATTCTCTGCTGAAGCTGTATTTAAATGAAAGGATTTAACTGGGAAAATAATGTGGTCGTTTCCCCTTGCTTTCCACATCCACACAGCTAACTGTGTTTTATGTGAGCCACAGTGACCTAGTGTTAGTCCACTTGCCTGCCAGGACAGTGGTTCCATCCCCAGAAGAGGCAGGATTATCTTCAGATGATGAAGGTTCTGGAGTTGACTCAGTCTCATAAAAATGAGTACCCAAGTTGTAGAACTTTTTAGATTGTGGGGATTTATTAGGAAGAAATCTAGTCAACATACCACACCAACAAGCAGTTGTATTCGACACTGTGCCAGTCCATCTCCCACAATCCCCAGTAGCGCCACATTGTTTCGAGTGTGAAATTGACTTCACACTAACACGAATAGCCAAGTGTGTTGTTTAGATTAAAATATTATTATTGTTCTGTTAATATTGTTCATTTCCGTTGTTTCTTTTTTAAAATGACTTATCACAAGTCATGTTTTCGTTTATTATTCTATCTAGTTACATTTGAGGTTAGTTTTCTTGTGTTCACCCTTAAAAGTGTGGTTGACTTGTGTTTTTGATTGACAGTTGGGCTGTGATATATACATCTTTTGGTACAACACATTTGATTTCAGCAGACCCTATTAGCCATAACTTAGATTATGTTTTTACATGCCAGTAGGTCTGCTCTTTTTTCCCCAGAAGTGCAGCCCGGAACCCACACTGGGAAGTTCATCATCCTTTGATTTAATATATGTCATCATCATCAACAGGTGCCTTGGCCGACTGGCGTGGGCGATCATGACTCTCCACAATCTGCGATCTCCTGCAGCATGTATCAGTTCATGTGCCAGCACACCTCTATGCCATACAACAAGACTGTCAAGAATCTTCTCTTTTTGTCTTCCTCAATCCCTCCTTCCACAGATCTTTCTAGTGGTCACAAGATGTTCTATTTTCCCTCTTCTCATAACCTGGCCGAAAAATGACAGTCTCCTTCTGATATCTGTGATAAGTTGTCTCCGGACTCCCACCTCTTTTAAAACCTCTTGGTTGTTTTTTTTTGGCTGTCCAAGGTATTCTAAGCATTCTTCTGTAAAATCACATCTCTGAGGCCTCAAGAAATTGTTTGGCCTGCCTACCGATTGTCCAGGATTCACAGCCATATGTTAAAACTGGATGTATGTAGTAAGCAAAAATTTCTTTTTCTAATTCTCAATGACAATATATATAAATATAAGAATACCTAACACTGTGTAGCCTTACATCCGTATCTGCCATGGGTTTACCTTACCATTTGTGTATTTCAGTTTTAGACAGCAACAACATCATCCCACCAGCCCTCCAGGGGGACACAATTCCCATAGTGGGAGACAACCCTGACTTATCAGATCAGGGGGACACCTTGGATCAAAATTGTATGTAGGCCATGTTTGGATATGTTCACTCTTATTTGTTAATTTAACTCTTACAGTACCATAATATATGGCAGCAAATCCCCAATTGGGACACAAATTGTGAATGCTAGACAGAAACTAAACACTGTGGAGTGGCCACATGGGTAGCCAGATTTCCAAAGTGTGGTTTGACCAAATGTAAACAGAAAACAGTTTACTAGTTTGTTATGGCTCACCAGGATTTTCCCATCATTCACTATGTGTTGTTTGTGATTGAAAGATTTACTTTTCTTCTTCTTCTTCTTCTTCTTGTTCACCGGCTGTGAATTCCGGCGGTAAGTCACGGTTGTTCGTCCAAAATGGACATTTGGCTTTTACCTTGACCTGAGTTTTGCGTGTACATCCGTTTTACTGGCTTATTTGTTTGCAGTACTCGTTCCCCGCCTCTCCGGCAGATGTACTCCGACTTCGGAGGAGATTTACTTTTCTATAGTGCACATATAATCAGTCTTCATGATCTTCTTCTGTGTTTACCCTCGAAAAGACTACCTGTTTAATGGTTTACAGCTAGGCTGCGATATCTACACTTTTCAGCCAAACATAGCTAATTTTACCATACTCTTGATTAATCACATTATATGAGATATTTGTTAAAGGGAAATGGGTCTGTTCTATGGACATAGGATATCGAGGGTACCCTCGGTATGAAAGGTCACACAGTGAAATTGTAACACAAACATGTGTTGGGAGGACAGCATGTAAAATGGGCCTGTGTGCCCAATTTGTGAATCTTTTGAAGATAAAGTTTGTTCCCTCCTTAGTGGAGCCCAGGAGACTACACTTTAGGATCTGAACATCAGTGGGACTTAGCTCATATACAGCATTGTTGATTGGAAATTTAAATACTTCTACCTTATTAAACTATAATTGTTTCAAAAGAACGGTATTGGAGTATGGTTCTGAGAAAAATGGCAGGGGTCAACCATGATGATGCTGGAGGCAGGATTTCAAAAACACCCTCAGCATGAAAGGTCACAAGGTGAAAGAGTTGGTAAAGTGTCGAATGGCTTTCTGGCTTGCTATGAGAGTATGTTCTGCTAAAGACCTGCTACATGAGGGTCTTGGACATGTAATGACAGATTTGAGATAGAAGTCAAAAACCAGTATGGCCTAAAATATTATCATCTGATTGAAAGAATATTAACACATCTCAAAAGATCACCAACACATTAATAATGTTTACTTTCTTATTGTCATCAGCAAGTCTTTTGAGCTTTATGACTCCGACAACCTCGGCCTCTGATAAATCCAAGGATATTCAATCACCAGAGGAATTAGAGAACCTCATTCAGCCCACCGTAATACACATCCCTGACAATATTCTGTCTTCATTAGGCTTCAGGAAAGATCCCGTCAAAATAGGTAGGTTTTTTTTTTATAATTTAATTTTCTATTAATAATTTCTATTTGTGGATTCGAAAGGGGGGGGGGGGGGGAACCACTGCCCCTTAAGCATGTCGTAAACAGCGACTAAGCAATTATTTAAGGGTTCACTGAAATGGAACCATTAGTAAAAAGTGAAAAAGTAAAGGACCCTTTTCCACGCTTTTAGGCGTTTAGGGCATATAGGGTTAGACCTATATTTTTATAGACCAATCGGCACAAGATGGGTGATGTGGTCAGCATCACGCCGGCCGCCTCTACTTCCCGGGTCTGCACCTGGTACCCACTCAAGGCTGGGTCGACCTGGGAGCCAAAGTCATTTTTGAAAATAGTCCGGCTCCGCCAGGGAGCGAACCCACTACCTTCCGATCCGCTGCGAGCGTCTAGCCACAGCGACTCCCTGGAACCATTAGGTTTAACAGGACACAATCGACTTCACAGCCACATGTACACAAAAATTTTAATGGGTGAATTAGCCATGTGCACATGTTGACTGGCACCTGAGACAACATATCAAGGCAAATCTTTTGGCCAACAGAAACATCAGTGCTAGTCAAACTTTACGGGTCGCTGAGTGAAAGGACAGTGAAGTTCAAACTAGAGACAACATCGCAGGTATAGATAATCTATTGCAAGCGAACAAAAGAAGAAGAAGAAGTGGAAACCAGAACGCAACATGATGGCCACCTCTTTTGAGGGTGAACACAGAAACAACATGTTTTACAAAATTTGTCTGGAATATTGTGGAGTGATAGAAGAGCCAATGATCCAGTCCATGAGATTCCCTGTGTTTGTTCCGGGGACTCCATTGTGGGGAAAACAAGAATAGACCCACTGCCTCCCCAGCAAGCATCTTGTAGGAGTCGATTAACTGGGGGGCTACCTTCAAAGTAGAAGTGCATCTGCCTGAGAGACAAGAAGCTAACTTTCTGCATACAAATAAGTCATATCTACAAAACAAGTTCTGGAACCAGAATAAAGTCTAGAGGTGGCTGAAGAACTAGAACTTTCAGCCGGGGTTTACAGCCAGTGGATGCGAAGAAGAAGTCCATGAGATCGATCTGAGGGATTAGAGAAATTAGACTCAAATTGTCAGTTTGTATATGTTTGCCATTTAATGAGAAGCAATAGACTGGAGAACTTGGTCTCTACTGCAAGTAAATGTTTATATTATTGATGCCAGGCCTGAAAGCTTCGGATCGGGAGCTAGAGAAAATGAAGTGCCCAAAGTGTGACTTCCAAGGCTATTATGTGCAGCAGTATCGCAACCACATTGCGACCCATGGTGACGATATTCAGAAGTGTAAATGTTGCAGTTATCTCTCTTTGGACGGTGATGAATTATTGGAACATTTTAAGGTAGATTGTAGTGTTTTGTATATGTCTTTTATTTATTTTTTTTAATGTTTTTTTTTTTCTGGTTTTTGTTTTGATTTATTGAATGTCTCCTTTGTTTTGTCTCCTTTGTTGAATGTCTTTTCTTGGCTGAATGTTTCCTTTGGTTTATTGAATGACAATTTTCTTTAATTTATAATTTTTAACGGGTTTTTCTCTCAAATTTTTGTTTCATCGAATGACTGACTTTTCTTTTTAATTGGTGTCTTTTTTTTTTTCAAATCCTTCTGTGTTTTCTCAAATGTTTTATGGATGATTTTGTTCACTGTTTTATTGAGTGTGTAATTTCTTTCCCTGAATGTTATATTTGTTGTCTTGCCGTTTTTGTTTGTTTTCTTTAATTTTGAGGGGAAAATGTCACTTCTTGTTTTTTTTTTTTTTTGGTTAGTGTCTTTTTTTTATTGTATTGCATGTCTCAGTTGTTTTATTGACTGCCTAATTTCATTTTAAAGACATTTAATTTTTAATTCTGTTTATTAGAATGTATAATCCTTTCCTCATTTTCTGTATTTTTGTGGGTTTGTAATCTGCATCAGTGGATATTTATTCACAGAGCCAGCAGGCAGCCAAACTGGCACATTAGACATTACACTGCAGTGACTGCCTGATTTTTAAATGCTGATGAAGTACCCTCAGACGCTCGTTTGTGGATCGGAAGGTCCTGGGTTCGCTCCCTGGCAGAGCCAGACTTTCAAAAATGACCTTGACTTCCAGATGGGCCCAGCCTTGAGTGGGTACAGGTGCAGTCCCGGGAAGTAAACGCGTCCGGCATGATGCTGACTACATCACCCATCTTGTGCTGATTGGTCTATAAAAATATAGGTCTAGCCCTATATGCCCTGTATGCCTAAAGGCTTGGAAAAGGGACCTTTGTTTACTTACTGAAGTACAAACTCCATTTGTGTTTGTTTCTCAGTGACGTGTCTCCATTTGATCTATAATGCACACTTCTTCTTCTCTTCATGGTGGTGAAATGCTCAAGCCATTTGCCTTGCAGTCTGAAGGTGGTGTGTTTGTTTCTCAATGTCGTGTCGTACTGTCTGCAGGTTCAGATTTTTGTATTCTTAGGGATTATTGCAGGAGCTGCGGAGTTCATGCTTTGTGTTCTACTATTCATATCAGATGTACAAGTTTGTTACCTTGCAGTCTTGATGTTACATACACGTCACACACACAGGCGCTTAGCAGGCATCTCCGACATCATCAGGTTGGGTGCTGACTTCATTAAACTGGCTTAGGCTGTCATCTCGCAGATTCAAACTTTCATCCACGTTTCAGTTATACAATAATACATGCACGCTCTTCTTGAACACAACCTTTCACTCTAGGGAAGGGGCAGCGTGGTGTCCGCCTCGAGTGTTAAAGGTTCTGGGTTCAATCCCCGGTAAGGGCTGGGATTTCTTCACGTGAACTTGGACTTCTAATTATTTCCCCTGGTCTCTGGGTAGTGAGATTGGGCGCCTGTGTGCATTGTTGTGCACGTAAATAAATCCTTGGCAGTTAGAAATTGAAAAAAGTAACCTAACAGCGATGCCCGGACAAAAATATGGAGTTAAAAATCTACCAAAAGTATTTCAGAATCTTTGCCTGTGCACTGTGCTAAGCTTCTTCAGACTCAGACTTGAGTTAGAAGAAAGAACGAAGCACTTATGGGTTACTACCCGTGTGCCATGATGTTGATCCATTGTTCAAACCTCTAATCTCACTCTGGCTGCGAAACACCAACTGATAAGACCTTTGTCTCTTTCTTCAAACCCTCATTCTGGGTCTTTGTGCTGTCATACTAGCACTGTTCAAATACCTCATGTTTTCGCAAGTCTTCATGTTCTCACATAATCCCCACTTATACTGTTTTTAGCTTTATACAGTCGTTAGGAAACCCATTCAGAAATTCCCCTCGTTACAACGGTGGATTGCTAGTATTGACACGTTTGACAGCTACCTTATGCATTTATGTAGCATGTGTGAGCTTTGAGATTTTGCTATGACTGATATGTTTATCGCTAGATTTTCACCAGGGATTATTGTGAAGGACATTTTGTGTGATTTCTACTGGCATGGGAACGTAGCAGTTATCAGGCAACTCTTCTGCAGTAAAGTTGGAACCTCAACTAACTAACTCTTTAGGTACTAAGGAACACACAGCTTGTTGACTTATGACTAATTTAACTGTCCCCTAGTACCAAATGAGTTAATGAGACTTGCTCAACACCAGCGCTGTACTGTTTGGGGGGGGGGGGGGGGGGGGGGGGGGGGGGGGGGGGGGGGGGGGGTGGGGGGGAATCCTGCCCCACTTTTGTAGGTTGAACGCAGACCCCTATCCCAGCAGACAAGAACAGTAAGCACAATACTATCACAGCACTATCCCATTATCCCATGTAAGTCACTTCTTCTCTTAATGTCTATTAGCCTCTCTTGCTCAAGCCTACCTCACCTTCACGTGGTGGACCCTGTTCTTCCCAGCAATCCAGTTGAAGGTTGGGGTCTCAACCCCCAGCGGGAAACTGGATGGGACAACAAACGAGGTAAAGGCGAAAGACGAATGGATGAGCCTTCTCTCCTCGAGTATGATCACAGTCTACCCTAGTAAAACAAGGTGCTGAAGTCGGAGGCAACCAGCCAAGAGGCGCACCACAGCAATCAGGATGCCACGCATACACGCCATGGAAATATGTCTATATCAGCAAAAAATGAGAAGGTCAGAGAAACTAGTACGCTGCCAAGGTGGAACTACAAGAAGGCTGACTGGACAATGTTCAAGCACCGTACCAGTATACTGCTTGGAAATCTCAGCGTAGACCAGGATATAAACAAAGTAGTTAAAGAATTTAACAAATGCGTACTAAAGGCAGCAGGAGAATCAATACCAAGAGGTGCCCGTAAGCATTATAAGCCATACTGGAGTAATGAGCTAGAAAATTTACATAACGAAGTAGAAACATCCAGAAAGATAGCAGAAACCAGGCCAAACCAAGAAACATCACAATAACTACCAGCATGCAAAAGCGAAATTTGTAAGGGGCAAAGCTGCAGGTTAGAAGGGAAAGCTGGCAGGAGAAAACAAGGTCGCTGAACTTTTGAAAAAGACACAAGAAAGTTATGGAAGCTTGTGAAACAAATTAATGATGAAGACACAGGGTGGAACTCAAAGATCACGCTGCAGAAAGACGGAAACATAGTCACAGGAAAAGAGGCAGCCAACCTATTTGCGGACACTTTTGCTTTAGATAACGACATTGAAATCAGTTCAGAGAAAAAACACGAAATTCAAGAAAAGACACAATTTAGAAGTCAGAAAGAAATAACATCAGAGGCGCTAGAGGTGCCAATTACACTTAATGAACTGGAGTTGGCCATTTCAAAGCTGAAAATGCGGAAGTCACCAGGAGCAGATGGTATATCAAACGAAATGATCAGAAACTTAGGAAAAAGTAGCCAAAACAAAGCTTTTACAGATATTTAATGCTTGCTGGGCAACAGGGAATGTTCCACAGATCTGGAGAGAGGCAATTATGATACCCCTCATAAAGCCTGGGAAAGACAGTTCTAATGCCTCCAACTACAGACCAATCAGCCTCACAAGTTGTCTCTGTAAAAACAATGGAGCGCATCACCAACCTCAGACTACAGTGGTACATTGAAAGTGAAAACATCATTACACCACAGCAGGCGGGCTTTAGAAAGTTCTATTCTACGGAAGACCAGACAACATACCTCTCCCAAGAAATAGAGGATGCTTTTCAAGATAAGAAACTGGTACTCGCGGCATGGATAGATTTAAGGAAAGCTTTTGATAAGGTTTGGAAGGAGGGGCTTTTGAAGAAATTGAGAAACTATAAAATAAATGGAAAAATGTACAATTGGATTAAAGCATATCTACATAACAGAAGAGCCCGGGTACAGGTAGATGGTTTTAAAAGTAAAAAAGTTCTACTGCGACAAGGCGTCCCTCAAGGTGGTGTCCTGTCGCCCACACTTTTCCTTTTATTTATCAACGATCTGGTTGCTGAGATACCAAATGGAATCAAAATGGCAATGTACGCCGACGACCTGGTACTGTGGTGCACCAATGAACATGCAACGATAGCCACACAAAACACTACAGCGGGCTACAAATGCACTTGAGGCATGGGCCAATAGATGGTGTGTCAGCATCAACACAGACAAATGTAGCACCACACTATTCACCCTCTCCCCAAAGCAAAAAGCCGGCACCATCAAAATAAACGAAATACCCCTGAGAGATGATAAAGAGCCCACATACCTAGGAGTCACATTTGATGACAGGTTGACATGGAGAAAACATATCAACAAGGCAGCAACCAAAGCCAGGAGGAAGACAGCAATACTAAGAAAACTAAGTGGAACCACATGGGGAGCAGATGGGAAAATACTCAATAAAGTATACAAGCAGAGCATACTTCCACACTTGGAATATGGGTCAACTGCATGGTGTTCAGCATCTAGTACCACATTAAAGGAGTTAGACAAAGTGCAAAATCAAGCGCTCAGAGTCATCACAGGAGGGATGAAATCAACCCCCCATATTAGAAATGGAGAAAGCTGGGAAAACACAGGCACTGAGAGAACGCAGAGATACAAAGTTGCAAATACAAGCTGAAAAGTTCCTCAGTATGCCAGATCACCCGATGGAAAATAGATTTAAGAACCTAGCCTTGGGACGGTTAAAAAGAAGCAGCTTTATACACCAAGCAAAAAGAATATGTAGACAAACTCCTGACCTTCCAGAAATTGGCTGCCCACTAAAAAAAAAGTATTCCGGAACAAACCCCATGGAGAGAAAAATGTAAACTAACGGTACAAATCCAGACAAATGTGAAAGGGATATTTGACAAGAAAGAGCAAGATAGTGTACAACGCAAAATGGCCACCCTCAGTTATATTGATGAAGAATACCCACAAGAACAATGGGTCAGAGTCTATACAGATGGGTCCGCAGAAAGTGCAGTTAGAAATGGTGGTGCTGGAGTGTACATCGAATTCCCAGATGGTACTAGGGATAAGTCCAGCGTACCAAACCGGGAAGTACTGCCATAACTACGATGCAGAAACCCAGGCTATTAAGATAGCTACAGAGAAACTGCTAAATACACACCTTGGCTCACAGTATGTGGTAATGCTTACAGATGCTAAATCAGTACTTGAAGCACTCCAGTCTAGGAAACTACCAGAATTGCAAACACTGCTGACACAACTCAGCGTTCAGCGAAGAGTCGTAATGCAGTGGATACCGTCTCATTGTGGAGTGCCTGGAAATGAGAAAGCTGATCAACTGGCAGGGGAAGGTGCGAAAAAAGAGCAGCCAGATGTACCAGTCACATACCACCAAAAGAAAAGAATCATTAAATCGATCAGGAAACCACCAGCCCCAGCACAAGACGACTATTTTATTATGGGACAGACCAGAACAAGTCATTATCTTCCGCCTCAGAACAGGGCACAACCGATTACGTAACCACATGTACACAAAATTCAAGATAGGTGTATCAGCCATGTGCACCTGTGGAAATGTGCCCCAGACCGCAGAGCATGTACTCCAGGACTGCACCGAATTTGACACATTAAGGCAAACCTTTTGGCCAGAAAGAACAACAGTGGAACGTAAACTCTATGGACCACTGAATGAACTATCAACGACAGTGAAATTTATACAAGAGACAAAACTGCTGATATAGATAACTTATTTCAGGCGAACGAAAGAAGAAGAAGAAGACTTCTTCTGTGTTCACCCTTGTATGTAAGATGGCAATATCTGCCCCTTTCGGCCCAGCACGTCTTATTTCTGTGAATCCTCAATTAGTCATCTTTAAGGATATACTTATTAGAGGCTGTGGATCTGTTATTCCCCACCTCACCTCTTCCCAGGTGGGGCCAAGGATCTCACACAGGAAGTCAAAGTGTCATATAGCATCTCTTTTGTGAGAGTTAAACACCTTGAGGCAAACCAAGAAACACCTCGTATTGTCATTGCCCTCTGAGAGATAGGAAGTTCTGAGGATTTTGAAAGCAACATGTCCACATCACTGCTAAGAATATGCGAATTGGGAGGAAAGATCAGCACAGCCAAGCACAGGAAGCACACTGGATGCATACAAAGTCTTGTTAACCAACATAGGACTCGTACTGTTAACCGCACGACGCTGATGAATATGTTGAGAGGGGAATCTGAGTGCCTGTATATGTGTCCCAAGTGTTGTGAAGATAATCTAACTCATAAATCAATTAACACCTCCTATTACTAGAGAAGTGTATTATATTTCAGTTAATGCAACAACAATAACAAAATACATGGAAATTAATTGTACAAGTATTAGACATTTTCATTTTGTTGCATTACCAGACCAGTGCTGTGAAATCTATCTTTAATGACATCTGGTTTATGTCATCTTACTTCATTGGGAATGCCATCCCTAGTGCTTTCATATCTTATTGCATTAGAAATACCATCCCTAGTGCTTTTATATTTTATTTCATTAGGAATACCATCCCTAGTGCTTTCATATCTCATTTCATTAGGAATACCATCCCCGATGTTTTTGCTCAGAATGCGGCTATATGGCAGAGCATGCTTATATAATTAAGCGCCACATGATGCGGCATGACACCAAGAGTTGTACCTGTGATTTGTGTGGGAAAGTTTATAAGGTAGGTGGTGTTTTTCAGACTGTTGTTTCTTTGTGTGGGTTTACATTTGTTCTTGTTGTAAGAAGGAATGGACACCAGAACTTGATAATAACCAGCATGATTGAATTAAAGGGAGCAAGAAGAAAGCAAAGGGGTAAATAAATACCTTGATAGCTTGACCATATTGGTAGGGGGGAGACAAGAACATTGATCTGATCGGTAACTGTGTGAGATGGCAGATATGACAGCCTATCTGTATTTCGCTATTGCTCTGTCTTTCCTTGTCTGTCTCCCTCAGTCTCTGTGTTGCCCTCACTCTTTCTGCCCTTTCATTTGATTTCTCACAGGCTCTCTCTCACTCTTTGTCTGTCTTTCTTTATTCTTTATCTGACTCTCTCAATCTCTCTTTTACTTTGCCTTCTTTTTTGTGAACCACAATAAGCGTGCCAGTCATCCTTTCAGGCAGAAAAAGAAGAAAAGGAAATAGTTCACATTCTTTGGACATGTATGTTGTTAGGAGAAATTAAACTTGAAAAAAAATATGTGGCAACTTTATTGAAAATGAGCAGGTGAAAGACATGGCATCAAATCTCTGCCTAGCTTAGCCTCATAGATGTGGGGGGGACAAGAACACAGGCAGATCTGCGATTCTGGTGATCATTTTCTTCTTCTTGGTGTTCACCAGCTGTGACCTCTGGATGGAAGTTCTGCTTGTTTGTCTGTTTCTGGTCCTTGGTCTTGTTCCAGAACTGGAGTTTGCATGCACATCCACTTTACAGATTGAGATTATTTGTATGTAGACTGTTGCTTCCTTGCTTCCAGGCAGACATGCTCCAGCTTTGAAGGAAACTTACCTATTTAGTCGCCTTGTACGACGTACTTGTTAATAGGGGGGGGGGGGGGGGGGGGGGGGGGGGGGGGGGGGGGGGGGCTAATCCTAAACACACCCCCCCCCCTTTTTCCCAAAATGGGGTCCCAGAACCCACACAGAAAACATGGAGATAAGTATTTACCTAACTTGGCCATGTGGTATGGATGAGAGTAGAACATAAACCTTATCTGAGATGGGGAACCCTGTCAGCCGAGCCTTAAGGTTAAAGTAAAAGTCATGAGGATTTATCATGTTTTTCATGTACAAGATGATATTTCCCAAAATGTTTAAAGGGTAAGATTTGGGGTTGTCTTACACACAGAATGTGATTGAAATATTGATGTCCTAATTTTGGGCTTTCAAAAATTTTTGGGTCATTTTATGTGTAGGAGCATCTTATACACGGAAAATGGGGTACTTTACTGCACTGAGTTATCTCTGGTGGCTTAGTCTCTCTGTCCACAAAATGGCTAACCATCTGCCAAGAGTTTCACACTAAGCCTGAACTCCTTAGCTCCAGTGGCAGTCCCACGGATCTATGTTTTAAAAAAAAAAACCTCTACAGCGTCTTTGAAATGAATCCACGACTTTTAGAGTATGAATCGAATAGCTTGACCACTAAACCTTGGAGGTATCCGCCCCCCCCCCCCCCCCCCCCATTCTTAAAGGCCTGGCACATAATGATGATGAAATATTTGCTGAACATTTCCATTGCAGGACATGTATATCCTCAAGATGCATGTCAAGATGGTGCATATGCCTGCTGAAGTGTTGTTTGAGTGCAACGTCTGCTCCAAGAAGTTCACACGCAAGGCTCACTTGAAGCGGCACTTACGGATACATGAGCCGGAGAAACCTTACAAGTGTCCCATTTGTGATTACAGGTAGGAAGGAGTCTTTTCTTCTTTTTCTGAGTGTTCACCAGCTGTAAACTCTCGCAGGAAGTTCTGGATGTCCATCCACTTCTGGATTGTGGTCTTGTTCCAGAACTTGAATTGTGCATGCACATCTGTTTGACAGATCTGGCTTATTATATGCAGACTGTTGGTTCCTTGCTTCTAAGGCATATGTATTAGGAAGTAATCTAGGTATCCCTTTATTTCTCTGTCTATTTGTTCATTCGGAATCTCCTTTTCTTTGTCTGCCTTACTGTTTGTCTTTTTCTTTGTTATACTTCTTTGTCTGCCTTACTGTTTGTCTTTTTCTTTGTTTGACTCGTGGGGGGGGGGGGTCGACTTCCCTCTTTTTCACTGTCTGTTTCATTCTTTCTGTTTGCCTGCCTTTTCTAGATATCACACTTTGTCTGCCATCTCTCTGTAACATTACTTCTTTGTTTGTTTGCTATCTCTTGTTTAATTCTGTCTCTGTCTGAATTCTCTCTTTCTCCCTTCTCCCTTTTCATTGTCTTTTCTCTGTCTGTCTAACTTCTCTCTCTTTCATTTTCTTCTCTGTGTCTGCTTTCCCTATTTTACTCCATGTGTCTTACTTCGGTTTTACTCTTCCTCTGATTGTCTGACTTCTCTCTGTCTTATCCATTCTCTGTTTTTCTGCCATCTGTGTTTCATTTGTTTTCTCTAACTGTCTGCCTCCTTTTTTTTTTTTTGTCTCTTCTTCTGTTTCTTCTGTCTGTAATTCTGACTTAGTCAGACAGACTGAGCAATATAGGGAAACACACAGGGCAGTTATCCAGTTTATTTGAGCGTATTTCTCTGCTGCTTATTATGTGCCCAGTGTCGTGCCATCTTTTTTTTTTCTTATAAATTAGATTATGTACGTTTGCCATTACAGTAGTGCATATATTATTTAAAGTGTTATCATTATGTTTGCACCACTGCACAGAGGCTGTGAGAAGTCTGATATATCCAAGCACATGTTGATACACGAAGAGCCAAAACACACGTGTGAGCGCTGTGGCAAGACATTCAGGCATATCAAAAATAAGGAACTGCATGTCAAAAGGTGAGTTTATGTATATATTGATACACATTCTTGTTTCCTGCCTTTAATGCTTTTGGTATTAATGAAAGTGTGTGGTTCTAGTTGTTGCTTTTCACCTTGACCAGCCGCATTGTACTGTTGTAGAGTTTCTTGGATGTTTTTTTTTCCAGATTCTTCTACCTCATGCTCTACTTCCCTCTCAAGGTATATGCTCAGTATGGTATGGTTTTACAAGACATTCTATCAACTGAAAAAAATAAGTATAATATTACTTACAATCTTCTCTTTTTTTTTTCCTCTTAACTCCTAACGGAGCATAGGTCTAAACAAAAGATAAACCATTTGCAGATTTATTCCTAAATAGTTAGATTTCTAGTTTTCATTGGGGCAAGATGACCACTGTTACCGCAACCCTCCTTAAATAAATGATTCTTTTTACATTCATGATAGCTGTTGTCTATATTGAAGTCCACTGAGGCCTGATAAATGATTTCAGTATCACTTTTAGTCCAATATTGCAGATAGGCAGGCTAACCATTAAGGCCTTGGAGTGTTTTTACTTCTGGTCAGTTAGCTAATGCATTCCCTTCACTCAAAGTGCATGCTTTCATTGCATAGCCACTGAGTTTACCCACATTGGACTACGGGTTGCATCCTAATCATTTGGTGTGCAAATACAACTGTTGTACCGTTAAACAGGGTTTCTTGGATTTTAACCTGTTTTACTCTCATCTGAGTTGAGTTTGATTCAAGAACCAACATCACAGCACTCGGGGCATTCCCATAAGCGTTGCATCCGCATCTTCAGCAGCCAGCGCAGAGTTCCAATATCAATGGTGTCAGTAGCAATGTGTTTATATGTCTGTCTTGCCTTTCCTCTGAGTGTCGAGTATTGGCCAGATCCCCTTGTCACTCCCCGCTGCATCACGTTCGCCAGACTGGTGATCCATTTACTCCTCGAAATTGTACACGTTTTCCCACAAAGCCCTAACCACTCTGCCTTATCTTGCATCAGTATTCCACCAAGTTGTGCAAAGCTAGCAAGTCTATCTGCCTGTACATTTTCCAGCACACCAACATGCATGGAGAAAAATCCAAATTCTTATATGTGAGGTGTTAATGTTAATTCTATAGAATGCAGTCCTGTAAAGGATTTTTGTTATAAATGTATGGTGCAACACTGAGAGCTGTGGACTTTATGTGAAATGTTTTTCATCTGTGCCCAAGCTGGTTTGTGTTTTGAGTTGTATGTTAAGAAATGGTTAGGGAAGGGAAGAAAGCAGTTGCCATATAACTAGATGAGTCTTATGCATAACTGTAAGTACAAGTGGTAGTTTCTCATGGCAACTGCATCCATCAAGGATGAACTGCAATTCTAAAAGTGTACTGTTGGTGTGTACACCTCTGGTGACTGCTTGATGCATTAAATGTTTATGCATGTTGTTGTCCTGTCAGGAGTACTGTCTGTTCAGCTTTTAACATTGGGCAGTGATAAACATATTGTATGTTTTAATAGAATAAAAATATAATTTCTAAATGCTTATTTATTCCAGACATTATGGGCAGCGAAATTACAAGTGTGGTGTGTGTGATTTCTTAGGCTATACGTACACGGACATACGCAAACATATAGAACGAAAACATCAAGATATTAAAACTGTAATCTGTGATAAGTGCAACAAGCAACTCAAAAGTGAAGTGGCTATGAAGGTGAGTTTTATTTAGGAAGTTTGTAAAATGTCTTTAAGAAAACAAGAGATTACAACAACTGTTGGAAGAATACCTATTTTTCAATTTGTTGATAAACAAAGACTAAAATAGTATGATCACTTATTGAGAATGAACCCAAAGATGTTGGCAGCAAGAGCGTACAACATGAAAATGAAAAGGCCAAGAGGATGGTGGTGGTGGGGGGGACCTAGAAGAATATGGATTGAAGGAGTCACCAACAATTTCAAAAATCTCCCTCAGTGTAGATTCAAACCCAAGACCAACAGGCTATTCCAATAATTTTTTTTTTTTTTTGCATTCATCCAAAGCCGGTTGGCACATTGTGATGTGGTTTACAGCTAGGCTATGATGTCTACACCTTCTGGCCCAACACATCCAGTTTTAGCAAACTCCTGATTAGTCACTTTCTATGAAATGCTTCATAGGGGTAGTGTGGGTGTATTCTCTTTTCCCTTGAATTGGGCCATGAAACCCATATGGGGCTTGTATATTTGATTGCTTATATTTTATATTGATGAGCGGCTGAGCAGTTGCATCATCGGGCAGTCATGAGGGAGACCGGCGTTCAAACCCTGGGAAGGTGATGAATGTTCTTCTGTCAGGAGCAAAAATAAACATACATACTTATACAGTCCTTGCCTACAGCACTAGCCATGTAGCCCTGAATCCTCCGACTCATGCAGTCTACCCTGCCCTAACAAGTGATAAAAATACAGACAGTAGTGACAATTATTTTGTATTTAAATTGAGAAAGCTCATCATCATCAAGTGCCTTGCCGACTGGCGTGGGCGATTTTGCCTCTCCACAATCTGCGATCGGCAGCTGCGTGTATCAGTTCGTGTGTTGACAACCCTCCATGCCAAGACAAAAAGCTGTTAAGAATCTTCTCGTGATGTCTTCCTGTGTCTCTCTTTTCACAGATTTCTCCAGTGGTCACAACATGCTCCATTTTTGCTCTTTTTATAACAAGACCAAGCAATTATGACTGTCTTTTTCTGTTTGTGATAAGTTGTCTCTGAGCACTTGCCTCTTTCAAAACATCTGGGTTGCTCTTCATAGCTCTTCGTGGAATTCTAAGGATTCTTCTGTAAAACCACATCTCTGATGCCTCAAGATATTGTTAGACTTGTTTATTAATTGTCCAGGATTTACAGCTGTATTTTAAAACTGGCTCTATATAGCATGCGAGAATTATTTTCCTAACCTTCAGTGACATGGATTAATTGCATGAAATGTTCTTCATTTTATAAAATGCAGTTTTGGCTTGTCCTACTCTGTTCTTTATTATACATCTTCAATGGGATATTATCCATGTGCCCAGATACTTAAATTTATGTACTTGTATGTAAGAGAACACTAGAGCATTTGAAACTTCATTGCCTACTGTTTTCCCAGGAACACCAGCAGACGTGTAATGTGATGATGATAGAACAAGGTCTGGCCATCCTAACCTCATCTGGTGGCACCAGTCAAGCCACAATCCAGATCCCCACTAACCTGGGGCCAGATGGCCACATCATCCTGGATGGGCAGGCCATCACATATGGAGGGTCAAACCATCTCAGTCAGCGAGCATGGAGGCATTAGCATCGTGGTTAATGGGGGTAAGACATAGGTTTCTTCATTATTATGTCTTTATTTGTCTATTAATTATGTCTTCATTGTTTTTTACATGTACTTTAATTGTTATATTATGTTATCACAATTGACACCACTGTACATTAGGCATTCCATTGTTTTTGCTTGTTCTGTCTTTCATTGTTTCTGTGTTGTTGTTTTGTTTTTGTATTTGGAGGTCCTTTCAGCTAAAATATCCATATATTTAGTCCCTGACACCATTGTTACATAGTGGTACATTGAAGTAATAGGAGCTATTTATGTTGTGAATTTCAACCCAAAGAGGAATAGATTCATCCATTTCCTTTGTCTTAGGAGTAGTTCTATTTGTTATGAGATACAAAAAAGTGAAGACCTTTAAATATGACAGCACAAGGCAGGATGTAGTGGGCAGAATAAGGCGTCTGAAGCCCGGGAATCAACGCAACAAGAGGAAAGGCTGGAAACAACCTCCCTGGTGGAACGATGAGGTAAAAGAGGCTTGGGCAGACAAACGATGTGCGGTGAGGATGTGGCAGTACGCTAGAAAAAGAGGAAATGCCCAATTCGACTGCATCCTGTTTTTAAAACAAGACATGGACAAAAAGTCTGACAGTTTCAAAACCCTAGAGAAGACAGTAAAAAGTCAAAAGTGGGCAGAACTGTGTGATCAGATGAGCTAAGACAAGTCACTGAAACTGTTCTGGTGATTCCACAAAAGTATGACCGTGAGCAGGGAAGAGCAGAGGCATTCCTGGCTTCCAGAGTGCAGACCCTGCCTGGCAGAAATCAGATGAAAATAAGGGCAAGCCTCTGTTTGCTCCCTATCTAGAACAGAGTGACCAGAAAAACCAGTGAGGAAACAACATGTCCAGAACAGCCATCTCATATATGTGCAAGACTCAGGAGTGACAGTCCGTGAGATTAAGGCTGCAACACGACAGGCAAACAACAGCGCACCTGATCCAGATGGCATACGACATGAAGATGTAGGCAAATTTTAGAACTGGCAACTGTTTACACCAACAACATTATGAGTGGAATAATCGAAGGAGAGTGGTCACACGGCTACTCAATACCTCAGCCAAAGCCTGGCAAAGACAACACAAAGATCTAGGGATACAGAGTAAGAACAATGCAGAACACGACAGGCAAGCTGGTGGAGAAGATTATTGCCTCCCAACAATATCCTGCTAGCTTGAAAGGCAAGGTTGTCTTTCCGCCTACCGTTGGTGGCTACCGCCCAGACAGAGAAACTTGAAGTAATGCTGCTGTTTTTGCCCACAACGTATATAGGGGGTTCCATTCAGGCATTGAACCTGTGCAGTCACCATTGACCTTGAGGAGGCTTACAACTTTTGAACTTTTTAATGTTTCCTTTACTAGAACTGCATATCAGTCAATTCCCCCTCCAGTGGATCTTTGCAGCCCTTCTACAATGAAAGGTAGTATTTAAGCGTGGCAGCGGGACCTCAGAACCAACTACAATACATCCTAGCCTGCCACAAGGTTCACCCCTATCTCCTGTATTATTTCATGCCTACACTGTAAAAATCACAGGTGAACAGATCACAGGACGAGGGAGCACATTATCATATGCCCATGGTGTTCTGGTGTACCGTCAGGGCAAGGACGGGAATGAGGTTGCCAAGGAGCCTCACTCTGAACTTGACCGCATGACCAGTTGGTGTTGTGAGGCAGGAACACCGGTCAGCCCAAGGAAGGCAGCTTTGACATGGTTCTTGCTAAATAACCTTGTCATCAATGCTCCTGCAATGAAATCTGGGAGTTCTTTTTTGATCACAGTCTGGCTTTCACTGGGCACATAGACCATGTGGTAGTGAAGGCTAGGATGGCTTTGGCAGCTTTGAGGGTTGTGGTGGCAGCGAACAGCGATATCTATGTCTGGTTCTTTCAGTGATCGAGTATGCCCTGGTGATCCTTACTCTTAGCCGGGCTCAGATAGAGAGACTGGAAAAGATAAAAAATTAGACCATGCATATTATACTCTAAAGAAACAGCATACAGAGCAGTGCGGTACCTCCTTGATTTTCCAACAATGGAAACTAGAAAAATTATTTGTCGAGCACACGTCTACCTCCGAGTCAGTGCTGCACAGTGAAATCAAGAAAAGGTATCAGATTAAACAGAGGAAAATCATGGAAGGGTCAGGCCGAGGATATTATACATGAGGTTTGTCCACTTGAGGACATAGAACATTGGAAAGATTGAGTACGTGTACCACCAGAGTGTCATATGTCCTTTGAAGTCAACATCAAGCTGAACAGAGAATGAAGACAACAAAACCAAGTAGTTGGGGAAGCAGAAGAGCAGGCCTTGATATGTGAGAATTCTTTCGAGGGCGATGTGATCATCTATACAGAAGGGTCTGTCATTCGAAATGTCAGGAGCTCCTGGGTATTTACGAATCAGGTCAAAGGAAGAACTGTCAAACATGCCTGCGATGCTTTCAGTTTGACGACAAGCAGTTTGACTATGGAGGTCATGACAGCAACTAAAGCAATAGCCTGACTAGAAACACAGACTTTCACCTGGGCATGCTTTCTCAGTGCCTCAGTGAATATGCTCAAGAAGATTGAGATGGGTTGCATCCAAAGACAATGGGTGGAGTCCCTAAGTAGATCTAAGTTGACAAAAATCAGCTTCATATTTGCTCTGGGGCAATTCTGCTGTAAAGAGCAGTGAACGAGCTGCAGACTTGCAAGTGATGCTGAAGTGAGAAGTGGACATAGCTGATATACTGAATGCCCTCAGTTAGGTAGCTCGAGTAAACGAATCAAGTAATGATTGTGAATCTGCAACACTGACGAGACTAAACAAACATAACATCAAGATGGGTGAAGCCAGACAAGATCGCTACACAGGGTCCCAAAGAAGAATAGTAAACCAACACAGAACTAGTGTCATAAGCCACTACACGCTAAGGGAGATACTGAAGAGGGGATCTGAGCACTTATGGACTGGATGGTTCGATGTGCAGTGATAATAATCTGTCAACTAACTAACTAATTAACTTCTTCTTGGTTTCTTGTTATCAACCTTACCAGTTGTTATCAAGTTCTCAAGTCTTTTTCTTCTCTGTGTCCGAAAATATTGACTGTCTACGTCTTGTTTTAATAAGTTTACGACTTTCGTCTGTCTCGATGACGACTGCTTCATTTGTTTTTCTATTCTTCCATGATATTCTTTGCATTCTTCTCAGAAACCACACTGTGCCACCAGTTAATGTTTTTCAGCTTATCTGCCTGTTGTGTATGTTTTTCCTGCATATAACAGCACAGGTTTCACATAGTATTTTAACATTGTTTTCTTGCAGTTCATCTCTGCTAGTTTCTCACTGTAAACTTTTACTGCATCAATAAAACACTCTTCTTTATTATCTGCAGTTAATACCTTATCATCTGTATACCTTTGTGTTTGATGTTACATCCTCCCACATTAATTCACATATTTAAGATATCACATCAGAATATAGCAAGAAAGAAATTGCGCACTCTGTAGTCTCCCTTCTTTGTTCACATTTACAATTGGATGATATTGCATTAAAGCCAAACATTTGCTGTAACAGTGTCCAGCATGTGTAGAACAGAGACGGTTATTTTGGCCTCACAGGCTGCACTAGAGGATAAAAAAAACTCTGAAAAGTCAACAACTTTAAGTTGACTTGTTGCTGTCTTCAAACCCAAATCACCTTGATATCTGAAGGTGTATGAAGATGGAGGAAGAGGAGCAGAAGATGGAACAGGAGAACCACAATAACTAAAGTGTGTATTTCATGGCTGGGATGTCTTACAAAGAACTACAGCAGTAATAAATAAAGTGTGGCTCATATTGCTTTAGCATGCCACAAGCTGAAGAATATTCCATTCAGTTTTTCTCTTTGCCACTTGAGGAGAGGAAGAGCTGTATACATCCTCTCGCTGTTATAAGAAAATGATTCATGGACATTTGGCCAGTTAGTGAAAAATTGTATGGATGCGATGGAGATGTTTTTTGATGAATTTTGAGAACACCCTAGACAAATGGTCAGCAAACTCCATAGTCGAAAGAGCTACAAATCTGCAGCAAGGCGATAAAATATTTTTTGGGAGCCAAATTTCTTGTCAAGAACCATGTTTTTCAGTCAAAACCAATTTGTGGCCGACTGGCCAAGCTTCACTCAGGTCGCTAAAGAGCCGTGTGAAGCTCTTGAGCTGCAGTTTGCTGACCACTGCCCTAGATGGATAAAAATAGTTAAGTAATGAAGGTGTCTTGTCACAAAAGAACTCATTGCCCATGTCAAATGGAGACAATCTACTTGGTGTGATCATGTTAAGAGAAGTAAAAAAAACTACATTGTGATGATGGGAAAGTTGAAGAGGAAAAGAGAGATGGACCAAAAGTGAAGATGCTGGACAGTTTGGCATGGAAGATCATCTGTGTCAGAAATGATTGAAAGCCCGGCTCTCTAGCGAAGTTGGTTAAACCTGACTTTCGCGGCGGCGGGGTGACGAACTCCTTGTGGTCCGGGTTCACTCCCGGTGGGTAGGCAGAAAAGCCACATTTCTCCCAGATTTACGGTACCTATAATGGAATCAAGGCCGAAGGGTTGCGATATCCATAGTACCGAGCCAAAGGGTTTACAACTCATGGTTTCTGGATACATTAAAAAAAAAAAAAAAATGATTGAAAATACATTAGACAAAAGATAGTGAATAGACATTACTATCAGTGCCACATGGCATGTACTAAAAAAAAGACTATTGGCTAGTATCTCCTCAGTCACAGTAAACAAATCATTTCATGACTTATATTTGCTTATATTCCTCCAGAACCACCATCAGTTACAGCATATATTTCATAGATTTGCCACAGTAAATAAATCACACATTTCATGGTTCATATTTTCTTGTATTTTCTCCAGAACAGTAAATAAATCACACAATTTATGACTCATTTTAGCTTGTATCTCTCCAGAGCCACAGATGAGTTTAGCAGAAGGCACAACTGAAGAAGAGGAGGAAGATCTTGACGATGAAGATGGGGGTATAAACCAAACCATGCAGATCATAGGAGAGACAATCTTGACTGAATCAGGGGAACAAATGCATATTATTTCTAGTGAGATGTTGGGTGAGTCGAGACAGGTTGTCTCCCATGTTTTCCAGCAAGACGCCCATGGAAAGTCAGACAGTGGATCTTGAAGGACAAGTTGTTGACTCATCTCCAGATATTAATATCCTGACTGACAGTGGGCAGATTTTAGATCACATTGGGCACATCATTGATGAAAAGAAACAGAATTCATCGGTGTCTGACTCATCAATAGATCAAGATGACAAATTCCCAAAGCATTTCATTCAGAAGTTTGACTTATCCAGTTCTACAACAGGAGATGAGAAAGACCATTCCGGAGATCACCTAGTACTGACTGTGCAAGGAGGTGACACTGAAGTCTTACATGCAGACCAACATTTCAAGGTTGCGATTCATTCATCAGAGATTTCTGATTCCTAGCATAACATTTAGTTATCAAAAACATATATATATTTGATTCCCTCCTAACTGTGCAGTCTGCAGTCTTGCAAACTGAAGATCTCTGTTTGTTATTTATTTAATCTTGCCACCTTTTGCTTTCTGGAGCTGCAAGAGTAGGCAAAGAACTGTAAGAGTACACTACCATAACAAAACAAATGGGCAATCCTTAGTGCAACAAAATCTGGTAAACGATACCACATCTAATTTGAGAATGGATGTGGATGCAATCTCTGCAGCCTTATGCTATCTTGAGAACCAGCTGCCCACACATATCATGATTATAACAGACTCACAAAGCATGTTTATTCATGAAAAGGATGGAGACAGGTATGCTGCATGCAGAGGGCAAGCATTGCTGCAGGGATTCCTGGTTTGGGATCTTTTCTCCTGGGCATGCAGGTATTATGGGAAATGAACAAGCAGGCAGACTGTCTGATTCTACACCATTTGGTGGCATTTTGATGCCTGACGAGCTAAATGTGGTTAAGACTTTTTGAAAGCTAGTCAACAAAGCAGAAGCACAAATAGATCATCACAGCCTGAAGACTTGTGCAGCAGGGAGAAACTAAGGGATCTGGCTCAACAGTTCAGATAAAAGGCCATGGGAATTGGAGCTGTGCAGTGGCTGCTGAAGATAGGGAGAAGAAGCACTTTTAGGAATGTCCCAAGTGCTGTGATATTGATTCCTAACTCTGCTCAACTCGTAGTGCTCTACCAGGCATGTCATAAAATAACTACTTAAGGAGGGTTAGACCCCTGTGCAGCTTCAGCTGTACAGGAAAGAATTGTAAGAGTGCATCCTACCATGCATATTGTGGAAAGAGACAGTATTAAGGTGGGTCTGGTTTGTTTTCCCCCAAATTAGAGCCCTGGACCCCTCACAGGGAAGAAGAAGACTAACCGACAACATTAAACACACTGTACATTCACATCGAATGACAATATCCAGTGCCAACTATTTAGTGCTTGATCGCCAGCTATTTCCTTCTGCTGTGCTTGATAGCAGAAGTGGAGGATGATGATGGTGGTGGCTCTACTAGCTTATGGTTTCAAAACCTTTTCTTTTTCATTAGAGTGTTGAGGAGAGATGTAAGGATCTTTTTGTTCTGTTGCTAATGTGACTCATTGAGTTGATGTTCATTTCTTCAAGACTGTTTTTGGTGCTGTCACTCTGTGTTTTGCATTCTCTTCTCTATGCTCTAGCTACCATGGTCTAGCGGCTAGAGACTTATCTGCGGATCGGAAGGTCGTGGGTTTGGGTCCAAACAGGGGCGGGAATTTTTTTTCATAAATGACCTTGGCTCCCAGGTCCGCCCAGCATTGAGTGGGTACCAGGTACAGTCCTGGAAAGTAAAGGTGGCTGTCATGATGCTGGCCACATGACCCACCACGTGCTGTTTGGTCTAGCCCTGGGTACCCAGTACGTCTAAAGGCATGGAATAGGGTCTTTTACTTTACTTCTATATGTTCTGTGTTTATTGTATTTCTTTATGAGGCTGTCTATGGCAGTTGATACCAGGGCTTTTTGTCAAATAACCAAACTATCTCATCTGTTGCTGTTTTAACTAACTGTATGACCTGGCTCAGTCCGAGACTTTTTCTAATGTCTACATTATTAATGTTATCTCTTCTTGTTCCTCTGACAGCTCTTTAAAACATTTCATCTCTGTCAAAACCTAGAAAAGTCAAATCTTTTGATTTTTACAGGCACAGAGTTTTACACACACTGTTGGTTTTCATTGTGTCTAGATATCATTGTGGAGTAGCACCTGGTAGCTTGTGTGATGCATTAGTTGTGCACAAATGAGTGAATGTGTGTACACTGAGCTGTTTGTGTATGCATGTACATACTGGAATGTATGTGTACAAATGTATGCACTGAGTAATTTGTGTGCACATTAGTGAATATGTATGCACTGGGTTGTAGTGTACAAATGTATAGACTGAGCTGATTCTGTACACATGTATACATGGCACATTTTCTGTACGAATGACTGTACTGTAAGCACTGGACTTACATTTATGTACCAATGAGTGAAAATACATAAACTGGGTTGTTTATGTACAATTGAATGAAAGTGTATACATTAGCAAATACTAGGCAGTTTGGGTACCAGCAAATGAGTAAGTATGTATACACTCATCTGTTTGTGTTCGTGCAATGATTGATTGCATTTAAGACAGTTTGTGTAAAGAGAATGAACACTTGCTTCTTCTTAGTAGTGTAAAATGAACAATATATGTAATCCATTGGATTACTTATTAAATCCAGGGGACAATTTATGTATTTAAAACTGAATCCAGACATTTATTTTTTGTAGAATGGATCCAGTGCACAATTTATTGACAGGAAGGGTGAATGAGTAAATATGTACATATAATACATTCTTCTTTACAGCTAACCATATACATATGCAACTGTCAGGTCATGCCACAAAATATACTTGCAAGTAAAATGTGATTCTGAGCAAACTGGAGCACCATAGTTTATATCAGACATGGTCATACCAGAAAAATTACTTGCTACAAAATGTATTTCTGAGTAAACTTGAACACCATAGTTTTTGTCAGACATGTTCATTCTGAGAGATCTGTTGTAATTAATTTCTTTCTTTAGAGGGGGGGGGGGGGGGATGTTCTGTTCTTTGCCAGATGTTATTCTGGATAACAATAATTTTAAAATATGTTTATTGTTGTTTTTGAAGATTTGTGTTATTTTCTTACGCCCTTAACTGTCAACCTGAATATATTCGGTGCGTACAAAAATACACTTACACATTCAATTACGTAGCAGTACGACGACCAAGAGAAACACTAAAGCGAACGGCTTTGATTGGATAAGCCAAAGGTGCTTGACTGGATTCCATCCTTAATATCAAAGTGATAGAACAGAATGGAGAAATAGACTGTGACTCCTGTGTGACAGGGTAGCAGTCGTGGTGTAGCAGCTAGAGACTTGCTTGCAGACTGGAAGACTGTTGGTGCCCTGTCCTGATGGAGTCAGACTTTTTTAAAATGACCTTGGCTCACAGGTTAATCCAGCCTTAAAGGAGTACCAGGAACCACCCTGGGAAGGAAAGTCACCTGGTGTGATGTTCAACACAACACCCATCGAGTGCCGAATGGTCTAGGTTTGTATGCCCATTAGCCCTATAGGTGTGGAAAAGGGCTCTTTACTTTACATTTGATCTATGGGACGTGCACAGTAGTGTGTGATTCATGATAGGACAATGAATAAATGATACTCTACATTCTAGAAGGAAATAATCCTCATCCTGCCATTATCAGTGTACAGAGCCATTATACGCCACAAAGGCCTCACTGTCTATTCCTCTATTCAATTCTGTCCTGTGCAACTATTTCGATATCATGGGTGAATGTCACTCCAGCACCTTTTACCTTTCTTTTCAAGGTTCATTTAAAGATTTCTCTCAGATATCCTCATTTCCGCAGTCAATTTGTTTCCTACTGCTGTGCCTGTATGATGGTTCTCTACTCAGAATATGTCTGGTTTAGCACCCTTTTTTGGTAAGGGAAATGGAGCATGGTATATAAACCTTCAAATGGTGAGCAGTTTGAGGCACTTAGTGACTGTACTGTTTGTTTGAAAAAGGACATTTCCAGTGTTCTTATTTCTGTCATGTGATTAAACATGCAGTCTTTCTGACTGGCCCTGTATTTTTAGGAAAGCATTAGCCACATGTGCTGGTGTGTTGGGAAACGAGCAGGCAGATAGACTGGCCAGTTCTGCACCACTTGGTGGTGAATTGATTTATGACAAGCTAAATGTTGTGAGGGCCCTTTGGGAGCACGTGAACAGTTCAGAGCACAAATAGTTCATTATTGTCTGAGGAGAATGGAGCTGCGGGGAGTTACCAGGGGATCTGACCGATGTTCAAGGAAAAGGTGAGACAGATATACAATCAAACAGTTACTGGTACCATCTGCATTTGAACTCTTCGCTTGCTGCTACAGATAGGGATGGAGTGCTTAAGGGAGTGTCCTGAGTGCTATGATGTTGATTCTTCATTTAACATTAGTCAGTTTCTTCTTCTATATTCGCCTTCTAAAGGTGGTTGGCATGTAATGTTGTAGTTTACAGCTAGACTGCGGTATCTGTGCCTTTCGGCCCAAAACATCCGCTTTCAGCAAAACCCTGATTAGTCACCTTTTATGACATGGTTGTTAGGGAGGGGCCCCGTTGCTCTATTACCCCCCCCCCCCCCCCACCCCCTATAGGGCCTAGAGACCCTCATGGAGAAACAGTCAGATTGAAGTTGTTTTCAGTTATCATCTACATAGAATATTTTTGTGTGGGAAGGGGGGATCTAAAAACCATGAGTTGTGCACTCTTTGGCTTGGTACTATGGATATCGCAACCCTGTGGCCTTTATTCCATGATAGATACCATAAATGTGGGAATTATGTAGCTTTTCTGACTACTCCCGAGCGTGAATTCAAACCACAAGAACTTTACCCGGTCACTGCGCAGCTAGTTTATTCAACTTTGCTAGCACGTCGGGCTAGAACTTGTCAATAAATGGAGTCAATGTAAGTCAGTATAACTTTATGTTCTGCCTACATTGGGTAAACTTGCAGCAAATCTTTATCCATCATTGTACCAATTCATTAGTTACATACCTCACTGTCTTCTTTCCATTAACTT